GTCAATTACAGGCCTCTCTCATCTTTTTAAGTGGGAGAACTTGCACAATTGGTGACTGACTAAATACTTATTTTCCCCACTGTATATATACATAACAGTATATACACGCTGATCCACTTGAAGTTGTTTTCTTTAAGTATTGATTAAGACCAAAACTATTTTACCAAACAACAGAAACAAAATAGTTTTCTGCATTAACATACATAGCAATTGTTTTTCTGTCTTAGTCTCTATAATCTAAACAAAATGTGGGCATCAAATGTTGCCAGAGTCCTTCTGATTGGTTTAATATATCATCTGTTATCATGTCTTATTACTTCCACTTAAGATACTCCACACGCATATTGAAAAGTGCAGAAAAATCCATCAGATTAAATGATTTTTGTAGCGATTCCCCCATCAGTGCTCACACAAACCTCATCCTTTGGCCTTTCTACTTGTCAGGTTCTCTTTTAAATTAGAACATTAAGTCCAAAGTGTGTCTTTAAAAAAATGAACTCTGGCATCTGTAAAATCTAATTGTTCTGTGCAGAGATTTTCTCTTTAAAGTGGGGGGTGAGGGTTTGACGTTGACGGTCCTTTTGGAGCTAACTAATGTTCTTTGTCTTAATGGATATGTACTTTTTCACCAGGACTTTTATTTTTTTTTAGAGTGGGTTGGCAGGTTTTGTTGCTTGTCTTTTGCCTCGGTCCTTTTTAATTCTGTTTCTGTCCTGTTCACAAGCAAGTGAAAGCCAATTAAAATGACTTTTCTCTTTTAGGGCATTGATATATTTCTTGCTTCCTCCCCGACCTCCTGTTATTTTTGTCCCCTCGATTTCTCCAGCCTGTCAGTCCACAGAACACCTCAGATGTTTCAGGTTTTAGAGGATTTCATTCCTGCTTTTGTTCTCGCCCTGTAGGCGAGCATTAGCTTTGATGTTTCCAGGATGGGATGGAGGGAAGACGCGATACAGAAAGGAGAGGCAGAGAATAGATGCAGAGTGAGTGATGGTGAGCAGGATTGATCGCTGGGGGGAGGGATGGAGAGAGCTGTGGTGTTTTTATTTGTATCCTCACATCCTCCAGCCCAGCTTTTCTTTCCGTGAGAGAGACACATCCGTGTGGTATTCAAGTCTTAATAAAGGCTGAAAAATGTTACATCGAATTGCTCCTAACTCTTAAATCGAAGAAATAAGTTTACAGAGTGACTGGGTTTGTAAATATAGGCATAAATGCTCGACGAAATGGTTGCAGAAAGCTAAAGGAGCCATTTTGGACCTCGCTTGAATGCCCTGAGTCATCCAGATTTGTGTGGGAGAGAAGGAGTTTAAGAAGCTGCAGGAGCTGAGGGCTGACATGAGGGGAGTTGCAGAAGTCCAGATGGATGAAAATTACAGTTTGGACTAAGATCTGAGATGGAAAGGTTGGATTAAACGTTTTTCTGCTGGAAACGTCAGGCTGTTTGGCGTTCGTACTCCTTTAGTGGATTTAACATTGATAAATTGAGCATTTAAGTATTTTTGTTTTGTAAATTCCAAAATCACATATTTATTCAAGAGAAGCAGAACATTTAACCATAAAAACAAACCTTCAGAAGCAGATTGATTTCTGTTCTGTGATTGTTTTTTGCTTAAAAGAGGCAGAATTCATGGTAAATAACAGAACTTAATAAAAATGTTTGTGAAACCCTGGTTTCGTACGCGACTAGTGCTGTACCAAACGATTATTTTCTAATCGATTAATCTAACGATTATTTTCTAATCGATTAATCTAACGATCATTTTTTCGATTAATCGATTATTCTAACAACAAATCTATAAGTTATTCTGATGTGAGTGCACTGGATATTTAAAATATTTTCATCAAATTAACAAGAACAGTTC